GTATGGTTTGAGGGGGAATGGCACAGACAGCTCTCAGTTCCCTAATTACTATCTAAGAACAGAGATAGTGTGTATGTGGTGTCTGTCTTGCAGTGGGTAGTGAGGTTTCGCCTCGTAAGGGCTGAGCCAGAAGAGAAGGCTCCTTTGGGAGCCAGAGACACCTGCCTGCCTAGGAGGGGACAAGTCCCCAGACCTTAGTATAGGGGCTCAGCAAGACCTGAAACCTCAGACCAGGGTTTCTGCCCTACCTGAAGGCCCCAGACTCATCTGACCAGTTGGGCTGGCTTGGCCACTTCCTTCCCCCATCTGGCCCTTGCTCTTGACACCTTTTCTAGCCTCACTGTACCCTCACTCTCCTTCTTTGCTCCCATCCTCCCTCCAAGCAAAGCCTATTTCCCATCAGGTTTAAATATTCTCAGACCCCTGGCCCCTATTGAGATAGAAGGGAGCTCTAGAGACATGAGAAATCATGACCTCTGCCTTCAGCCTCAACAAGAGGCAAGGAGCAAGACATACTCATGTATTTGTATGTGTGTTGGGAGGTAAGTTTTCAGGGTTTGAGAGAGGGGCCTGATGGGGCACGGGATAGTCTTAGGACTAGGAGACTTAGAATTGGGGCTGCTTTGTGATAGCTGGGCTTTAAGGTCATGAACATAGAGAAGAGCTGGGTGTGGGACATTGGCAGAACTTTGGGTGTGCACTGTTCCAGCAGTGGGTTATGGTAGGAGTAGAGGTCTGGCAGGGAGGCTCAAGAATGGGGAGCTCTGACTGTGGCCTCCTTCCTTGCACAGCAGGTTGCCTTCAAGGCCTGTGGCCAGGCCACAGTCCCTCCAGCCATGGCAATCGTCCAGACTGTGCCTGTGCCCCTGGAAGCCACCCCTGAGAACACGGTCTCACACCCACCCCACCTGCCCACCATGGGCAGTGTGAGTAGCCTTATTTCAGGCCGGCCCTGCCCTGGAGGAGGGCCTGCACCCTGCCACCATGCCCCCTCGGGACCTCCTTTCTTCCGGCAGCAGGATGGGCTACTACTTCGAGGGGGTGGTTGTAGGGCCCAAGAGCCACTGTGCCCCCCAGTGCCCACCAGAAAGCCCGTGGGAAATGCTGGCTTCGCATATATCAATGAGGATTTCCGGGGAGATTCACCCTCCAGCCCCTGTAGTGACACTGAGGATGCCCGAGAGCAGCAAGCTCGAAGTGCCCATCTCAGGGGTCCACCTCCAAAGCTCATCCCTGTGTCTGGAAAGTTGGAGAAGGTGAGAATGGGAGCCTTCTTCCAAGTACAAATTACTTTTCACAGTGCTCAGGGAGAGGAGGGGGTGGGTTGGGATAGAGCCTCTTAACACCTGTGATGACTCTAGCTTTGCTTCCTCGACCAAGGGACTGCCAGGATTTAGATGCAGGGAGCACATAGGGCTTGGGAGAGGGTACCTCATAGTAGCTAGGTGGTAGTACTTTGTTACTCTGTTTCAGAACATGGAGAAGAGTCTGATCCGGCCCACAGCCTTCAAACCTGTGCTGCCCAAGCCTCGGGGGCCACCATCCTTGCCAGCATTCCTGGGGCCACGGGCTGGTGTTGGGGGATGTCAGGGAGCCAGGGTAGTCTGACCCAGCTGTTTGGGGGCCCTGCTTCCTCATCTTCCTCCTCTTCCTCCTCTTCCTCGTCCTCTGCTGACAAGCCTCTGACTCTAAGCAGCTGGGCCAATGGTTGCCCCTCAGGAACACTGTCTGACTCTGGCCGAAATTCATTGTCTAGCTTGCCCACTTACAGCACAGGTGGAGCTGAACCAGTTGGAGGCTCTCCAGTTGGGCACCTACCTACTGATGGCCCTGGGAGAGGGGTGCTGCCTGGCACTGGGAGCAGCCACCGTGGGGTCTCCATGGGTCCCTCGCACTCAGACAGTGGGCGTTCATCATCCAGCAAGAGCACAGGGTCCCGGGGAGGCCTCCTCAGTGGTGGGGGCACGCGGGCCTCTCCAGACAGTGGTTCTTGTGGGGATCGATCACCTCTACCTGGCCCCCCCCACCTCCCCCCCACCCCTGCCAGATGAGTCTCTGCTGCGATGTGCCCTGCAGGAGAAGCTTCGGGAGCGGGAGGCAGAACTGCAGCAGCTTCGGGACAGCCTGGATGAAAATGAGGCTGCCATCTGCCAGGTGATTGACTCTCCACTCTCCATCTGCCACCATCCCATGCCTGAAAGGAGGGGCTGAATTGAGTAGACAGAGACTGAGTGGAAAAAAACCTGGTCTAGTCCTTCATGCCCCAATATGCCATGTGTGTCTGGACAACTTGTGAACCTCATTCAGATTCCCCTCTCATCTCTCCTTGAGTGAGGAGATGCTTTGGAAGTTACTTTTGGTGATAAGAGAAGGGGTTGGGTGAAAGAAGGACAACTTGAATAATCTAAAACAATAGGTAATTCAGAAGGAGTGATGTAACCTTCCCATGGGTGCATCACTTTACAATTCATAAAACTCTTTTATACCAGCACTTTGAGGGAGGCAGGGCAAGTATCACTACACCCCCCCACATTTTACAGATAAGGAAATTGAGGACTGGAGCAATGAAATAACTTGCCCAGGATCATTCATCAAGTTGATGGCAGGGCCAGAACTAGACCTCCTTATTCCAGTTTCCTCCACTACCTTGCAATCCTTACATCTTTGGTGGTGGACTGTACTCTAGGGGGGGGCAGCAGCAGCTGATTATCACTACCTGGCTGGCTCCAGCTTAGTATTAGAGCAGGGCTGACTTCCTTGAGCATAGGCTGGCCAGCTGAGGAGGGGACGCAGAAACGTTCGGCTGTGAATTATCTACAGTGTGTTACTTAAGAGTTATCTGTGATACCATGTTGTTCATGGAGAGGTTGAGGTTTCTGGGTTTAAGCATGTGCTGAGGTATATACAAGGAATGTGCATAGAGGAGGTATGGAATAGTAGAAAATATTGGTCTGTGGAGATCTATGTTCAAATACCAGGCCCACACTTAGTGGCTTTGTAATGATGGGCACTTCGCTGTCTCTTTGAGCCTATTTTCTCATTTGTAAAATGTAGATAATAGTTGACCAAATCACTGGGTTATTGTAAGGAAAACCTTCAACGCGTTTCATAGAAGGTGGAGAGCCAATGGGATATTTGCATAAGTGTGGGTGGGTGGGAGACAAGCTCAATGTTTGTGAATGTTTGGAATGGGACTGTGCCTGTGTTTATGGCCCTGTCCCCCCAGGTCTATGAAGAAAAGCAGAGGCGCTGGCAGCGAGAGCGGGAGGAGCTCCAGGAGGGCTGTGTAGCCCAGGTGATGCAGGCAACCCAGAGAGCTCAGCGGGCACAACAGCTGCTGCAGCTGCAGGTTTTTCAGCTGCAGCAGGAAAAACGCCAGCTGCAGGATGACTTTGCACAGCTGCTGCAGGAGCGAGAACAACTGGAACGGCGATGTGCAGCCTTTGAGCGGGAGCAGAGTGAGCTCGGTCCTCGACTCGAGGAGACCAAGTGGGAGGTGGGTTTGGGGACCCTGGGAAGACTAGGGGAAGAGGATAGGCTGAGAGTCTGGGGGGGAACTTTGGGAACAAGACTGGCATCTGGTCTTGAGGCCAAAGTTAGAGTTTCATTCTCATGATTTTAAATGACATAATTACCCAAGGTTTACCAGCTAGTAAATGGGGGAGCTGGGGTTCAAAGTAAGGTGGTTTGCCTCCATATCTTTCACCTGCATATTCTTGCCTCTGCTGACCCTCTACCCCTGTTGGGTGTGAGGTCATCACTCACCACTGGTCCCCCCTCACCCTTAAGGTCTGCCAGAAATCAGGGGAGATCTCCCTGTTGAAGCAGCAGCTAAAGGAGTCCCAGGCGGAACTGGTTCAGAAGGGCAGTGAGCTGGCAGCGCTGCGGGTGGCACTTCGGGAGGCCCGGGCCTCTCTAAGGGCCAGTGAGGGGCGAGCTCGAGGGCTGCAGGAGGCAGCCCGGGCACGGGAGCTAGAACTTGAAGTCTGCACTCATGAGTTACAGCGCAGAAAGAATGAGGCTGAATGGCTTCGGGAGAAGGCCGGACAGCTGGACATGGCTGTGGCAGGACTTCGGGGGGCTCCAGAGCCCATCCCTGTGCCCACCCCTGACCCCTTCCTGCTGTCAGAGAGTGATGAGGCCAAAGCTCAGAGGGCAGCAGCAGCTGGGGCCGGGGGGAGCCTTCGGGCCCAGGTAGAGCGGCTGAGGGCAGAGCTGCAGCAGGAGCGGCGTCGAGCTGAGGAGCAGCAGGGAAGCTTTGAGAGTGAGCGCCTGGCCTGGCAGGCAGAGAAGGAGCAAGTCATTCGCTACCAGAAGCAGCTGCAGCACAGCTACATCCAAATGTACCGGCGCAATCGGCAGCTGGAGCAGGAGCTGAGGCAGCTAAGCCTGGAGCTGGAGGCCCGAGAGCTGGCAGACTACAGCTTGCCTGAAACCCCACCCTGTGTCCACCTGGAGGAGATCACAGCCACAGAGATCTGAAGACTCATAGGTTAGAGGAGCCATGAGGCAGGGGAAGGGAATCAGCTTAGAGGCCTCTGAGTTGAGGGACTGTCACCTCTCTACCTTTCTTTGTCCTGGTCTGGCCTCTAGGATGAGTGCAGGGATAAGTTTTCGGGCCAGTTCTGTACCCAAAGAGGAGCATTTCAGTAGAGCTAATGACCCCATGTAATTATTGTTAGGGTGATGTCAGGCATGCTCATGCCCTATCTGGGGGGAGATGTGAAGACCACTCCCCCACTCACCTTGTCACCACCACTCCAAATCTGCCTCCATAACACCTATCAAATCTGCCCCTGGGATTGAGAGCCTAAGGATTCCACACCAGAGAGAGAAAGCTCCTTCTTTCTCCCCTCCCCTCAATATGTGCCTCCCTTCTGTGTCATAGGCTAACGGATGAGGGACCTGGGATGAAGATGCCTTGGTTCTCCATCAGGTTCCTCCTCTAGAGCCCCATTCCATAGCCCCCTGTGTGACCAGGAGCTGCCTTCAGACCAAAGGAAGAACTCAGAGACTTCTCATTTATTTGTGTTTGTTACTATACCGGTCTCTAACATCACCCCACCCTCCTTCCTGAGTTTATGGCATCTTTTAAATTGTATATTTTTCACACGTGTAAATTTCTTGTACAAACCCAAAGAAAAATTAAAAAAAATTGTTTTTAAGAAAATGAGTACACTGAAAGTGTATATAGAGAAGGGGAAAGTTCGTACTCTGCCGACATACACATTGCTGCAGGCTCCTCCTTAGATCCCACCCTGGTTTTGGGAGGTCCTGCTACAAGTCCAGTAGAAAAAGGCCTGGAAGTCCCTATGGAGCATGGCTTGAATGGAATTTACAGGGCCTGAGGTACCAGGGCAGTTCACCCCTTGCATTCTTACCCCTTAACTAAGTAAAGGCCAGAAGCAGGGGGATGGATGAGATGGCCCTTGCTCCTTTCTCATCTGAAGAGGCCTAGAGGTTCCTATCTGGGATCAGACAGGGCAGAGAAGAACCCTCACCCATAACTCCCACACTCATGCTTATCTGACTCCTGCCCTAGGCCAAGTCTTAAGGCTTGCTGAGACTAGGGAGGAATGGGGTGTAGGGAGTAGGGAAGCCTAGTTAGTAGCACCATTGTTCGGTTTGTAAGCTGACCACAAATCTGGCCTGTTTCTGAGAGAGATGAGGCTCTAGGATAAGATGGATTAAGGAAAGAGGTTGTGGTCATCTGGGAACTGTTGGTAGTGCTGGGGAATGACCCTGATCTCTGTTAACTTATTGGGGAAAGGATCAGGGAATCTGAACCAGAAGGTCATTGAAGGAGTGTGACCTGGGGCTAAGAGATTGTGGAAGGTGCCGAAGGCCAAGAGTGGGGGACCCTGACCACTATCTCCATGGGCTCCCGAGCCTTGTTTCGATAGGCCCTGCGGATGGTGTCCACAGCTCGCTGGTGAGTCACCTGTTGGAGGCTCTCCCCATCCACAGACACAAGCTCAAAGCCAGCCTGATGAAGAGGTCACAGCCTTAGCTCCTTCATTGCTGCAGTCCCCTCTCTGGGGCTCTGGCCTCTCACCCCATTTCCCAGTCTGAGACTGGAGGACAAGTTAGGGGGAGTACCCAAGCAAAGTGGGGGGGGCGGGTAACAGCATGGACAATGAGATTTTTGTTCTGTATTTTTTTTCCTTAGTGTGTGGGGGGGTGGTAAGGCATAGACAATGGTCCCTTTGTGCCAGGACTGGTGTGTGTGTGTGTGTGTGTGTGTGTGTGTGTGGAGGGGGGTGTTTTTGCTCCACCGAAGACAATTCTCCCTCCTCCCACCCCCACCCCATCCTGCTTAGTCATAGCATCTTTGGACTTAGAAGTGAAAGGGATCTTAAGTCATCTTGTCCAACCTCATCATTTTTACATATGAGGAAACAGTGATGTGACTTGTAAATAGGTGAGCTAGGTCCTTTGAAGTCACATCTAGCCTGCTATCCACTCTGTCACTTCTGATTACGTCTATCCCCCCTGGCCCCGAAGACACTGCGCTCCCTCTAGTCCCTGCCTCCGACTCCCCACAATGGATGGGCTGTATTTGGGACTGAGGTTGAAATGCCTCCCCAGGGATGTATTTCATCCATACCTGCAGAGCCCCACTAAGGAAGGCTGCCCCTCCAGGAAAGATCTTCTCAATCTTCACCATGGGCTGCACCTTGGACTCGATCCCCCCAGAAATGCTGATTCCTGGGAGTGGGGCACGAGGTCAGAGACTCCCACCCCCAAACTTACCTACGGGGCACAGTCGCTAGCGCGTTCTGAAAGCTGGGGAGCTCGCCCCCACCACGGCCCTGTCTTCCAGCTTGGCCCATCTGCGCCCCCTCCCACTGCCCAGCTCACCCAGGGATTGTCTGAGCTTGGAGAGAGTGACGGTCCTGAGCTCCCCTTGTCCATCTCGGTCCGGAGGCGCCTCTTGCTCCTGCGTGCCTCCAGCGACCACCTGCTCGCTAGGTCCGAGTAGGGGTGTGGGGAGAGGAAGCCGGGAGCGGCGGGACTTGGTGTAGCGCCCGTTCCCGGGAGCTGGGGATGGGGAGCGCCTGCTGCCTGGAGACTTGCAGCGGCTACGGCTGCGGCTGCGGCTGCGACCTCGACTCCGGCTGCGTTGGGCATCCTCGCGCGCCCGCCCAGGGGGCTCGCTTAGCAGCCAATTGGGCCGCGGGGGTCTGGGGGCTACCGGGGGCGGGGGCGGCGGGGAAGACGCGCTGCGGCGGCCGGGGCAAGAGAAGGCATCCACTGGAACGTCCCGCAGAGGGGGAAAGGGCTTGTGTGAGCGGCGAGGGGCCGCAGCCGGAGCCGGAGGACTCTGGGTGTCCGCCGGCGACGAGACCTGCAGCCCTGCCAACCTGTCGCCCAACGCACCCGACGCCACCTCCTCTTCATCTTCCTCCTCAGCGAAGCCATTCACAGGGAGCAGGTAGAAACCTCCCCGGCTGTCTGTGGAGGCAGTGTGTGTGTGTGTGTGTGTGTGTGTGTGTGTGTGTGTGTGTGTGTGTGTGTGTGTGTGTGTGTGTGTGTGTGTGTGCGCGCGCGCGCGCTAGCCCCCTTTGTAGTGGCAAAGGTCACTTAAGGAAAAGTCACTAAAGACCAGGCCCTATCCATTCAACTCCACCCCCCCCAACATTTCCTAGGACCTGGGTACACCAGCTCCCTCTCCTTAGGATCATAGATTAAGAGCAGAAAGAGACCTCAAGACTATTCTAGTCAAACATCATTTTACAGATGAGGAAAATGAGGCACAAAGCACTTATAGTGACTGCCCAAGGTCACAAAGGTAGTACCTAGATAAGTAGCAGAATCCCAGAATTCCAGTCCTTTAATTCCTGAACCACAATGACCAAGGGCCTACTAAAACCAATATTTGTGTAGCCACTATAGAAACCAGACTTGTTTTTGAAATCAGATATGACTAGTCTGAGCCCTGCACCTGAGCACCTGGGAGCTGACAGGCCAAAAGCAGACAGGAATTTCTGTCACATAGGTCTGGGGAAGGTTTCCTATTGTCAGTCTGTCTCAGTCTTCATCATCTGTCACATACTATTGCAGTAACTGGTCGGTGGTTCAGTGGATAGAACACCAGGCCTGACCTCAGATGCTTACTAGCTGGGTGACCCTAGGCAAGTCTACCTCATTTTCATCATCTGTAAAATGGAGATAATAACAAATACCACTTACCTCCCAGGGATATTGGGGTAACATAAGCTAATATTTGTAAAAGCAAAACAATTTGTATTTGCAAAGGTACCTGTATAAATGCTAGTTATTCTTATTATTATTGATTGGATTCCCTACCTACAGTCTCCCCCTTCTCTCTAATCCCTTCTCCACAGGGCTACTAAGATTATCTTCCTAAAGCACAAGTTTGACCATGTCACTCCCCTCTCCTAGAAACTTGAGTGCTTCCTTACTGTCTCCAGGACTGGGGTGGGGAACCTTCGGCCTTGAGGCCAAATGTTCTGTGAAGTTTGATTCAATGAAAGGGCTGCCTTTGAAAGCCTAAAGGGCCACATGTGGCCTCAAGGCTTCACGTTCCCCATCCCTGCTCTAGGACAAAATAGAAATTCTTTAACTTGGCTCTTTTTTCTTCACAGTCTAGCTCCAGCTCGCCTTTCCAGCTTATCGTCATTCCCTTTCTTGGTGTTTTAGTCAAACTGACCTACCGGCAGTTCCCTGCACATGGCATTCCAGCTCTCACTTCAGTGTTTTTGTACCAGCTCTCCTTGCCTAGAATGGACTCTTCCCCACACTTCTGCCTCTTAGAAGCCCTGACTTCTTTCAAAGCCTAGTTCATGTGCCACCTCTGCTAGGAAGCTTATCCTGATTCTCATGGGCTAGGGAGTGCCCTTCTCTCCAAATGATCACCAATATATACTATTCACATGTTGGACCTCTCCCAATAGAATGTGAGCTTTTGAGCTCAGGAACAAGTTCTCCTTTTGTTTCCATATCCCTAAGTCCATATGCAGACACGCAATATATATGTATGCATATATGTGCATATGTATGCATACATGTGTGTATGTACACATACATCTATGCATATATTCATGTATACAGTAGTTGGTAAATGACTGTTGGATGGCATTGGAAGGCCAGATCTGACTGGCATCTGTCAGACAATAGTTTAACAAGTAGGGCTTAGATGCTAAGCTTCAATGGTAAACCCTGGGAGAATCTATGTATAGGGAGAGACTGCATGGTAAACCTCTTCCTAGGGATGAGAATGTGGAGTTCCAATGAACACAATTCATATTGGGAAAAATATTCAGACCTCCTATCATTTGGAGCCAATCCAAGGCTGATGAGCACTTATGGATATTGTAGCAGAGATTTCTGCTCAGGTATAGATGGAACTAGATGCCATCTAATGACCCCTTAAATTCTGAAACTCTAAGATTCCAGTCTTTTACCACTTACCCACCCCCCATGCTAATTTAGGTACAACTTAAATTGCCCTTTTCTTTTCCTTTACTATTTACATAGCACCAGCAGAACCCAACCTGTGTTTATGTGAGACCATTAAAAAACATGGTTTGAAAATCCAAACTGCCTCCTTCCTCCTCCACTCTGGGGTAGAATCATTCCCCACCCACCTACCCATAACCCATAAGGCATTCTCTGTTCAGAAGTCAGAGTCTGGGCCTCTGGTAAGGTGCTTTCTTCTCTCCTCCCTCCCTCCCCCACCTCTTGCTTCAGACACTCACCAGGCACCGGTGTGATGAGGTGGCGTTTAGGTGGTGTGTCCTGCCGGGTGGGTCGAAGAGCTGGGGGCCTCACTGTAGGGAATCAGACGGTCAGTGATCCCACTGGCCCAAGGGCTTCTTTGCCAGGTAGAAAACTTCATACCATACAGTGAGGGGATCCTCATGGGATTCCAAGAGGTCCATTCACACTACACACACACACACACACACACACACACACACACACACACACCTGCTCGACTTTTGAGGGCTTCATATGCTTCAAGCTCCATGGGCATCACTAGGCTGTCAAATTTGCTGAGGTCTCCAGGGGTCACTGCACTCCTGGAGGGTGCAGGAAGGAAGGGGGTGGTGAGTCAGAAGGCTCAGCTCCAGGAAAGGAAGGTGTGTGTGTGTGTATGACACATGACAGAACCCCCTGGATGCTGTCTCTTCTAGGTGCCCCTACCTGATGTCCCGAAGCAGCAGCAATTTCTCTGGCCGATCCAGGATGGCCAGCAGTGGCCTCACCAGGTCCTCCACCCCGCCCTCATGGACGTACTGCAGACACAATGACTAAGGGTCAGACAATGAAAGGACTTCTGGTCTGTGTGCATGATGGGGGTTGAAGAAAGTCCCACCCCTCCATTGCCAGAACCTTAAAACATGATCCCTAGGCTGCTTCTGCTATCCTTGGTACTGGTAACATTTCCTGCCAGGATAGGGAAATGGACAGGATGACTTGGGCTAAGGGAAGAGGGGAGGGAGGAGCCTGGTGTTCTGGCTCACCTTAGGAGAGGGTGGAGAAAGGGCCATGGGCATTTCAATGCTTCTACAGAAAGCAATCCTCTGTAGGCAATTTGGCCACCTTGGGGGTCTTACTCTAAAGTGACTGTTTTAATTTAAACACTAGGCTCTGACTATTTGTCTAGAGGTGGACACTGGGCAGTTACTCTTGACAAGCAGGCAATGGGCTGGGAGTCTTGGAGATGAAGTCATTGTCTGGGAATCTCTGGTCAAAGTGAAAGGTGAAGCTGGAGGTGGGAGAAGGGAGGACCTCCAGCATCTGTCAGGTGAGTCTCTAGGTCTACCGCCACACACAGGCTAAGCTCCCCAGAGTTCCCAATCCACCCACTCATACAGCCCTGCCTAGCCATGATGTGGAGTACAGCTCCACCTTGTGTCCATAGTGTGACCCAGCAACGAGGAGCGATGCAGAGATGCGCTCCCTGGTGGCCAGAGTGTGACATGCATGGAGACACAACCGTACACATGGAGCCGACGCATTACCTGGTTACCAGTCGTACACATTCACAAACTAGAAACACAAACACATGACACAAATACAGAGATACAGCACCTTAGACTTGGAAGGCATTTTATCATCCTTCTAGTACCACCTGAAGCTGGAGGTAGAAAGGAATCCTTTCTGCAACATCCATCAATCAACAGGCATTTATTAAATACCTCCTCTGTGCCAGGCACCGTACTAGGTGCTGGGGACACAAATATAAAGAATGAAACAATGTCCTCTTCCTACATTCTAATATCTTATCTTGACAAGTGGTTACTCAACCTTTTCCAGAAGACCCTTGGTAAGGGGGCATCTACGATCTCCCAAGAGATCCCATTCCACTTTGGAATCCTCTCATTGTTAGGGAGTTTCTCCTTTCATTGACCCTCACACCACATACACCCAGACACATACCACAGACAGTCACACATGCAATACATATATAAATTGCATCCACAGGGTCTTCCCTTGACTTACAGACATAGAATTATAGGATTTAGAGCTGGAAGGGACCTTAGGCATTATGTAATTGAAGCCCTTTATTTACAGAGGACAGAACACGCCTAGGGAAGAAGAATTACTTGCCTGAGATCCTGTCCTATTCTATGTATCATATACATCTTGCTAATATCACAGATGTTCTGAGCCAACATTTCTCCATCTATTAAACAAATGTGTTGGATGAGACGATCTCAAAGGCTTTTTCTAGCGCTGTTGTCCTTTAGCTCTGTGCTGTGATGATTTAGCCCCCTGTCAAGCTTTGACAAAGTTGGAAGCTTTTTTGAACCTCGCTTTCCCCCTCTGTAAAACAAAGGCCTTGTCCAACCAAAATTGTACATTATCTTCTAGAGACAGGGTTGCTTTCCTCAGGGAGGGATACCCTTAAACATCTGGCTAATAGGTCCCTGCTTTTGTTTAACCACTTACAAACTCCTCTATTGGCCATTTAAAGCCCTTTGCAATCTGCCTCCAGCCTTTCCAGGCTAATTATGAATTACTCCCCCTTACACAGACTCCGAGCCAAATTGGTATGCTTTCTCTTTGCCATATAAGATATTACATCTTCTGCTTCTGTGCAAAGGCATAGACTGTGCCTCTTGCCTGGAAGGCCCCTCTCCTTACCTCTGCTTCTTTCTCATTGTACCTTTGTAATATACCCTATATCTGTGAATATTTTGTTTCTTACTAGAATGTAAGTTCCTTGAGGGCAAGGACTTTTTCTATCTTGAGCACCTAGTACAGTGCCTAGTACATAGTAGATATGTAATAAATATTTGTTGGTTAATTGGTCATCCTCACTCAACACCATGTCCTCCAGTATGGACAGAAAGGCTTCTGGAGACAAGGAGGTGACAGCCAGAATGAGAGATGTTCTCTCCTACTAGGGTACCAGGGTACTTAGGGGGATGGTGATAATTTCTATAGCATTTAAGTTTTGCAAAACACTTGATATGGATCTTATTTGATTCTGACACCTTTTTAAGATTATTGCTATTATTATCCCTACTCACAGATGTGGGAATTAGACTCCCAGAGGTCAAAGGATTGCTTATGGTTACATAGCTAATAAATCTCAGAGACGGGTTTTGAGTACAAGCCTTCCTGATTCTTAAGACAAGCACTCCCCCACTAAGCTACTCCTCTAAATGAATGGATATTAGGAGTTTAATGGTGGGTGGGGAAAGGTCCAGGTGAAGGAGGAAGCCAGGGGGAGGCCTACCCGGGTGCAGTGACGAGTGACAGCCAGGACCTCATCATCGGTCAGAAGGCGCCGGGCCAGGTCCTGTATGAGGGGGAGACGGCTCTCCCACACCTGGATCTGGTTCTCTCCATTGGACAGTTGGCTGGAGTGTCCCTCTGATCCAGGCAAGAGCATGGTGTGGGCTCTCTCTCTGTCTAGGACTGGAGGTAGAGATGAGAAGGACCCACAGTTAGGGAACCAGGACCCAACAAGGAATGAGATTTCTTGATGTCAATGCAGACAGGGTTTGAGGACCTTGCCCATCTAGACTCCATGCTCCCCAAAACCACATGCACACTGGACCCCTCCCCATCCCCTCAACCCAACCTAGGACACACTGTTATGTTCTCTGAGAACCAAACCCCAACACTGGCAGGGGGAACTTACCCCTTCTCAGTTTCCAGGTAACAAACTTCTGCACAGGTCCTGATCCCCCTGTGGAAGAAAGCTGAGCTCCAGCCTCATGGCTGAGTCAAGTCAGCAAGTACCTAGTGACCACCTCTTCTCCTATGCCAGGCCCTGGGCTTGGCTACACTGAATGTGGGGGACACAAGGGGGAAGGGACGGAAAGGAGGAAGAGGCAGGAGCAATTGAAGAAATGCTCCCAGCCCCGGCTGGGGAGACAAACCTAACACACACTGAGTAACCAGAGAATGAGACAGGAGGCCAAGTTACTTTAACAGTAATACACTGGATGGCTGAGGACTGACAGCCACCTGTCTGAGGAAGGAGAGATCAGTGAAGAAGGCTCCACATCCACATGGCACTTGAGCTGGGCCTTATGCAACTGATAGGATTTGGAAAGGAGCATGGAAGATATTTTAAGTGGGGAGAAGCATGTGAACAACAGTGCTAGAATGTACCTGGGGGGTGAAAAGGAGGAGTTCCCATTTGGGAAATAAGGCTAGAATGAGATAATGGTGGAAAGGGAAAGGTCCAGGTGAAGGAGGAAGCAGGGGGAGGCCTGCCCAGATGCAGTGACGAGTAGGGCCTTCTGGAAGGCCTTGAATGCCAGACCAAGGGAATTCAGACTCTTTCCTGTGGGCATGCTCCCCAATTTCTCCATGAAGCTCACTGTCTCCAGTGAAATAAACCCAGTTTTACACTGCTATTCCCTAAATATCAGCTATTATTATTAGGAGGAAAGGAAGGGAATAAAAATTCATATAGGCCCTACTATGTGAGAGTCATGGTGCTAAACACTTTACAAATAATATCTCATTTGATCCACATAATAACCCTTTGAGATAGGTGCTATTATTGTCCCCATTTCACATCTGAAGAAACTGAGGCAAATAGAAGTTAGTTTACTTGCCCAGGGTCACACAGCTAGTCAATGTCTAAGGCTGAATTTGAACTCAGGTCTTTCTGACTCCAGGCTCAGAGCTCTGTCCACTGCATCATATAGTTAGCTGCCTTTCGTAATAATAGCAATAAAAGACCTGACCACCCCTCACACACACACACACACACACACACACACACACACACACACACACACATACACACATACATACACCATACCAGGTCTATCCCTCACTCTGGCTTCCCCAGGGGAACAAGTGTTTCAATGTGCTTTTTTTTTTTTTTTGCAATTGGGGTTAAGTGACTTGCCTAGGGTCACACAGCTAGTAAGTATCAAGTGTTTGAGGGCAGATTTGAACTCAGGTCCTCTTGACTCCAGGGCAGGCGCTTTATCTACTGCACCACCTAGCTGCCCTGGGAAGGAAGTGTTTACACCAGAACACAGACCCTCCCATCTTGCCCTCCTCTCTCTAAGGCTCCATTAGTCTGTTTTAAGAAGAAAAAGGGTTCTGGGGTAACCCCACCACTTGGGAAGGCTAGCCAGACTCGTTTCACTGAGGACAGTGAAGGTCAGTTAAACCAGTCGCTTGTACTGGTAAGGGCAAGGTGAGGGGACATTTTGAAGATAGGAACCATCAAAATTATTCTCTTACCTTTCTCTGCTTCCAGATGGGACCGGAACCTGCAGGTACTCTCATTCTCTAGCCCTGAGGCCTCATTCTTGCCATCTCCTGCTGGCCGCCCACTCTTCCCCCCCTTGAAGAAGAGGTTCATCAGTGTCTTGGAACGCTGCAGGGCACCCTTCTCTGGGGGCGACCCCGACTTCTCCTTCCGTCGCTGTTTTTTCTCCTCTGGGTATAGGAGACAGGAGGCTGGAGGGCTGGGTGGGAGGGGAGTAACAGGGGAGGGTGGAGATGGTCTAGAAGGGGGATGGGGGAGCCACTGGAAGGGGCTGAGGGAGAGGGAGCAGAGTCTACCAGCTTTCGTCCAGAGATCTCACTGTAGGAGAAATGGCATCTAGGTACCCTTCTCTGTCCTCCTCTCCATCCTAACCCTCCCTGGGAAACTTTAGCCTAGGGCAATTTGGAGAGAGACTTATATGGAGGTGGAGGAGGGGATACAATATGATAATGGAAATAGGATGAGATTGCAAGGGCAGAGTCAGGCATGGAGGTCCAGAACCTGGGATAGGGATGGAGTTAGAAGCTATCGTAAAAGACTTGGATTGGGTAAGAATAAGACACGCTCATCCCCAACATACCCCATAAAGTCAGGTAGCTCTGGGAGCGAGTGATGGGGGGCCGAGGCCTGCTGAGAGCCAGGAGTAGGGCTGTTTTGGGGGACTCAGACAGCGCGGCGTCAAGGCGAGAGCCAGATCTTCGAGCAAGGAGGGGCCCATCTGATCGAATGGCTGTGTCTCTGAGGATAACTGTAGGCCGGACACTGCACCATGTCTCCACTACCCCGCTGACCTCTGGCTCAGTCTGGATGGCTGTGTCTGCCCGACCCCAGCCCCTGGACCCTGGTCCGACTAGCTCCTCTGTGGATAGGCCAACATCCACCATGTCCAAGGGGAGGCAGCTGGAGCCAGAGCCAGAACTGTAGGGGGTGCTGGAGGAGTAGGAGGACACAGCTGAACTACTCTCCGATGTCTGTGACCGCTGCTGCAGGGGCCCATTGTTCACTATGAAGAGGCAGGGGCCTAGGTCAGTCTGGGGAGATGGATGGGAGCCTACCCTCTCCCTAGAAGCCCCATCCTGCTTCCTGCTGGCCTTTTAAGATCCCTGTTGAGTGTAGGAGGGGACTAGCCAAGTTAGGAGCTGTGTGGTAGAAAAAGCTGTGGTCTGGGAGTCAGAACATCTGGGTTGTAGTGCTAGGTCCTCCACTGATTCCCCAAATGACCTGGGCAAATTGATTTCTATCTTATCTCGAGCTCTATCCTCAACTGAAAAGTGAGGGGATTGGCCTATCTATGATGATACTTTCACCACCTACCTTGTAGGTTCAAATGTTTTAAAGTTCAAATGACAAAAAGCTCTTGGTGAACTATAAAGTGCCACATGACTAATTGTGAACTAAATTATTATTGCAGATCAGGGCTTTTGCACCTGGAACTCTCTCTTCTCATCTCTGCCTCCTGGCTTCCCTCAAGTCTTAGCTAGAACTCCAGTTTCTGCAAGAAGCCTTTCCCAGTCCACCATCACCTGGGTGCCTTCCCTGGGAGAGATCTTGTTGTCTCTCCCATTAGACTGTAAGCTCCCAGAGGACAGGCACTGTCAGCGGTATCCATGGCACCAAGAACCCCAGTTGTAGATGGTCCTTCTAAGGCCCTACTCTTCCTTGAATCAAAGCTTTCCTAAGGCGCATGATTCTGAGAGCTGGTAGAACTGAGGGCTGAGTTTAAAGTGTCATACTCCTTCAAAAAAGATTCAAAGATACCCTGGGCCCCAGCTGAGTGACTGGGAGGTGGAGGCTCATGGAGGAAAGGGAGGCTTCTGGGTTAAGCTTAGGACACCCAGGCTCTGGTGAAGTCCCTTCACCCCATCCCCAGGCACATATGGAGCCCTGTGGAGTCTAACCCATTCTGCCTTCAGAGCGTCTTACATTGGTCCAACCAGCAATACTCAGACACCATCTCCTTGTAGGCTGGATACCTTCCTGTCTCCTGGGGGGGGGAGAAAAGGGGAGAAGAAGGGAGAGGAGGATGGGGAGAGGCATGGAGAGGGAGAGAGGAATGCATTAGGGATAGATGTGAGAGGGAAATCGGAGGATCAGTGTGGGAATGGGAGTGGGGGACAGGGAATTGGAGAATTGAGAAATGGGGATAAGGGTAGGAACAGGGTATGAGTATCTTCCATATCTTAAGCAATGGCGAGAATATGACCCAAGAACTGGTTAATGATCACCACTCCCTCCCTGGCTGATCTCTTAGAATCAAATCTAGGAGGGCATCAGGGTGGCACAGTGGCTAGAGCACTAGCCTTGCAGTCAGGAGGACCTGAGTTCAAATCCAGCCTCAGACACTATCTATGTGACCCAGGGCAAGTCACTTCAATTGCTCCCCTCCCCCCAAAAAAAATCAAATCTAGAAGGCCTACAGCCTCTTCTTCCTTTCATTGCCCATATAATGGCCCCAGGGAGTAATCTCCTTGACCCCAGTTCTATCTCTCTCCAAAAGTCATCTTGTTCCTCCCAGCCCACCACCACCACCACTCTGAGCTAGAGTCCCTCCTTCCACTGAGAAACCAGGCCTTATTCTCTCTGATAAAGCCAGCTGCCTTGTTTAGTGCTTACACTTGCTACTTTTAGAAAGTTCTTCCTACAATCTGACTTTTATCCTTCCCAACCTAGTAGCTACCATTTCTGCCTTTCATCCCCAGGGTACTATGGATCTATGACAACCCTGTGGTCAGGGCCTACCTTTATGGTCAGCATGATGTGTGTCTGGCCCTTCAGCACCTCCACAGCCTGGCTGTGACTGATGTGGTCAAACTTCACTCCATTGGCTGCCAGGACCTGGTCTCCCACTTTGATGCCATTCTCTTCAGCCAGTCCACCATGGTCCACTCTGAGACCAAGGAGATCTGTTAGAATACATCCACCCAAGGGCCTCCTCCCAGCTCCTATACCCCAGCCCCCATCCAGTCTACTCACTTGGAGACATAGATTCCCAGACCAAATTCTCTGCCCCCTCGGATGTTGAAACCAAGGCAGAAGTCATCAGAGGTCGTGTACAGGTGCACGATGCGCCTAACTCCATCATCTGAGCTGAAGTCTGAGGGTGTCGAACTGCATTTCTCCACCACTAGCCTTCTATTGACCACATCCACCCTAGTGCCCAGCAGACCAGCCAAGAGAGTTGTGCATCTTTCACTAACAGTGTGGGATACAAGGGGGGTGGGGCCCTCCAGCACTTCAATACCCCCCCATCCCAGGCACACGGCTCCCCACAGACCCTCCTCCAGGTTTAGATACCTCTCACATTTCACTAAATAAGAGTTGAGGGAGATAGTAGCCCTTTTCCCAACTAGGATTCCCCCAGAGCTGGATAAAAAGCCCCCAAGAGAGTGAGCATTATTTGGGGACAAGGACATAGGGACAAAAAGATGGTGAAGGAGAGCCCCCAGGAAAAGAGGATGAGGTCTCTGTTCCCAAAATGCCACAAAGAAGGTCAGGCTCACTCACCAAAGGCCCACCCAAGAGACACAGGCAGGAAGAAAGAGCCCAAGAAGAGCAGGAGGAAAAGAACAGCAATCTCTGAGGAGAGAGGGGATGGGGATATAGGGGCTACAGGGAGAAGAAGGCACAGGACAGGGTAAACAGACCCAGTAGGGAGAGAGGGGCTCATATCACCATCTTAGATTTGGGAGTTCCCTCAGCCCACTGAGTCACTCTCTTCCCCAGGCTGCAGGGACTAGTCTGTGGCCACCTGTGTACTTTCCAGGTTCCTTGCAGAGCCCTACCAAATTATGGGCCTTCTTCTCAGGATCCCAACTCTTTCTCCCAGAGGCCCCATCCAGGGGAAGGTGATTCAGGGGGAGGGGAAGGTAAGATAGATGGAGTCCTCACCACGTGGTCTTCTCCTTAGAGAACTTGATCCCAGGCACACGGCCCATTCGCCTCACCATCATGCTCAAACGGCTGCTCCCCGTCAGCACCTTCACAGCACTGCTCATAGTGGTACTCTCCAGGCTAAGCCCATTCACTTCTGTGATTTTGTCTCCTACTCGGAGCCCAGCTCTCTCTGCAATGGTACCAGATGAGCTGAGTTCTTCCCTATGCAGCTTGGGAACTCTCAATTCATCCTGTCTGCCCCTTCAGTCCCCAGGACCCAGAGAGTATGACAGAAACTCACCTGCGCTGCTCCCTTCCTCCACTTTGCTGACAAAGATGCCCAGGCCATGCTCTGAGCCCCCACGAACACTGAAGCCCAACTTTCCTGCTGGGCTCTTTTCCACAGTGACTGCATTGATGATGTCACTCTCATCACTGTTGGCTGAAGGATGACAAAGAAGGATGATCTGGCGTTTTGGACACTCACCTTCCCAGAAGTTACTCCTAGCTTTTTTAGCACAGTAAGATCACAGACCATCTCCCCTTCTGCAGTGAAGGGACCTCTTGCCTGGGGGTGGGACAGAGGAGAAGATGAGACAGCCTGTAAAATCCCTTCTAGTCTAAGACTTGTAGGGTTATGGGGGCAAGCATGGCATAGTGTGAAGAATACTGGATTTGAAATCAGAAAAGAATTGAGTTGAAATCTCACCTTTGACCCTTATCAACTGTGTGACATTGGGCAAATCACTTAATCTCTCCAAGCCTATTTCATCTGTAAATAGACATTGTACCTACCTCACAGAGTTATTGTTAGGCTCAAATATGGATGATATATGTGTAAAGTGTTTGTAATATATGTGACATGTATTTGTTCATATATGTATATTATATACATATGTGATATATGTAAAGTATTAATCAAAGTTTATCATTATTAATAATTACTTTTTTATTTAATAAGCCAGAGGGGGTGCCTGCCATATGGCATGATACCTGAAGACTCCATTTGAAAGAAAAAAGGGTTCTCCTCTTCTTCTCATACATCCCTTTATAAAGAGCCACCACACATCAAACCTTGTGTCTAGCCCTGTGGAGCTGATGGAAGAAGAGGTCATTCAGAACCATGCTATAAGTATATCCACTGAAGGGGCTGCGGATGCTTAGCTTGGGGAATAAAAGTGAAGGCTTAGGGATGGATGGGGAGGATATAATAGCACTTTTCAGATATTTGGAAGATTGTCATACGGAAGAAGAAACTTACTTTGCTTGGCTCCATAGGGTGCAGGAAAGTGATTTTAGACACTGTTTAGATACTGTTCCTTCGCCTGCACCCAAGGGTTCTTAACCTGGAGTCCACAAAGTTTTTGCTTTTTATATTTTAATAACTGTATTTGAATACACTCAATTTCCTTTGTAATCCTATGTGTTTTATTTTGTCCATTTGAAAACATTATTCTGAGAAGCGGTCCCTAGTTTCCACTAGAATGAACAGGATCCATGATACCCACACAAAAAAGGCCTATTCATGATTTGGGAAGTGACATTAGATTGTTATAAACTCTGGCCAAGAATTCTAGAATTTTGGGATAAGGAGCAAGAAAGAACAGTATAGTGGTTTCTTTTACTAACACTGAAGAAAATTACCTATACATCACTCCTTACCCTCCCACTCCACACATACCCTGGAAAAATTGATTAATGGCATAGCTAGTACAACGTAAATGAGTTAAATCTTCGATGCCTTAAAATTTGGTGTTGCCCTTTCCTTCTAAAAACTGTTGTAGGGGCAGCTAGATGGTGCAGTGGATAGAGCACTGGCTCTGAAGTCAGGAGGACCTGAGTTCAAATCTTGCCTCAGACCAAACACTTGACACTTACTAGCTGTGTGGCCCTGGGCAAGTCACTTAACCCCAATTGCCTTAAAAAAACCCCAAAAACCTGTTGTGACAAGTGATCCTTTGGGCCAAGACCTTCTAAACAAACTAGAGGCCATTTGCCTTTACCAGCAGCACCAAGAGAATGTAAACTCCTCGAGGGTAAAGACCTCACCCTATTTTGCATAGTGCCTAGCATATTGTAAGTGCATACTTAATACTTAATAAGAGCTGTGCAACCTACACAGAAAAATGATGCCCACCCCCTTGAATGTAATAAGCTTCTCTGGATACCATCCATGTACTGGATGCATCTGGTCAATTTTAGCATTTAGATCTATATTTAATGTGGCTGTTCTGCAAAGTCCTTTATATAGCATAAGTACACACCTGTGATCAAGCCAGATATCTGAAAATTGCTTGGCTATTCCAATGTGTCTAATGGTGACACTGTGGTACACACTGAAGAGAGACCAAAGGGAACCTAATATAGTGCATTCCCTTTTATGAGCTGAGGGATGGTTGGTTATTTTATAAATATGGTCTTCTTCTTATCTTTTAGGATGACAATAAAATTCCCAGAACCACTTTGGGGCTGAACTTAACAGAATGAAACTTGATTAGGATAAATATAAAGCTTTATACTTGCATTCAAATAATCAATTTTACAAGCACAAGGTGGGGGAAGTATGGCTAGATAGCAGATCTTTTGAAAAAGATCTGGGAGTTTAAGTGTACTGCAGGCTCAATACTGGGCAGTAGTGTGATATGGTAGTGAAAATGTTAATGCAATTCTACACTGAATTAATGGAAGGAGTCTAGAAATGGTGATAGTCTTACTGAGCAGACTACAGCTAGAGTTTTGTAGAACCACATCTGAGTAAGGACATTAATAAAATGGAGAATGTCTTGGAAGAAGGCAACCAGATTGGTGAAGGGCCTCAAGATCATGGTCATATGAAGATGGGCCAAAGAAGCTGGGGATGTTTAGCCTGCATAAGAGAAGATTTAGGGAAGGATACGCTAGTTGTCTTCTGAAGGGATGTCACATGGAAGAGAGATTAAATGTATTGTTTAGCTCAAGAAGGCAGGATTAGGAACATTGGGTAGAAGCAATAGAGAGATAGATTTAGGTTTTTATGTAAGGAAAAGCTTCCTAAGAATCAGTAGTCCAAAAATAGAATGCATTGCCTTAGGAGGGTATTGGGTTCCCTCTGCCTAGATGTCTGTAAAAAATTAAAAGGGCTAAAATGACTTTGTTGGGTGTATTGCAGATAGACTTTGGTTCAGGTGTGAGTGGGCACTAGAAGGATGTTGAGGTCCCTCCGTAGTTCTGAATTCTACAGTTATCAAGGGGAGACCTGAGAGGAAAACCAAGTCATAAAGGATTTTGTATCTTTCATAGATCTGGTTTAGCACCATCTGGGGTAATCCTTTGATCTACTGCCCTAATCCCAAACCAAAGATGAGTTCTCTTCCAAACCTGGTTCTGGGAACAAGCCTGAAGTTCTGAGCTAGGGAGACAAAGGAGATATCTCAACCATTGATAAGCTCAGTTTGGGACATGATTTTGAGGAGCCAGAGAGATATCCACATGGAGGTGTACAGGTTGAGATATAAAGATCTGGATTTTTCTTTGTCTCTATATCCACACCTGCTCTCCTACCTCTACTTTGACATTTTCTCTCTCTCTTTCTCCCAGGGTTGTTATGAGAAGTAAATGAGATAATATTTATAAAGCACTTAGCACAGTGCCTGGGATATAGTAAGTGCTTAATAAACCCTTCCTTCCCTCCTCCCTCTCTCCTTCTCTCCCTTCCTTCCTTCCTTGGTTCCAGGCTCAAAGATTGGATGGGGGTTCTAGGTTCTGGGCTCACAGGTTCCAAGATTCCAAGCTTAACTGCAGAAGTTCTGCTCATACCCTCTGGCTTCCCTGACTTCCTTCAAGTCTCAGGTAAAGTCTCAACTGTCTGCAAGAAGCCTTTTTCAATCCCCCTTAATTCTAGTGGCTTTCCTCTGTTGATTATTTCCAATTTATCCTGCCTGTGGCTTATTTGTACAGAGTAGTTTTTATGTTGTTGCCCCTGTTAGACTGTGAGCTCCTCGAGAGCAGGAGCTATTTGCTTTTTGCCTTTCTTTGTATCTCCAAGGTTTAGCCCACCATCTGACACATAGTAGGTGCTTAATAAATGCTAGCTGTCTTGGTTCTAGACTCAGGGATTGACTCACTATTGAGAGAATATAAAGCTCAAAGCCTGGTTTTAGCTTCCAGGCCCTGAGACTAGAGACTCAGAGATGAGAAGGTGAGATCTCAGTTCAGAGTTAAGGAGACCCATTCTAGGCTTAGAGCTTGAGGAGGTTCTAGAGTCAAAGGCTGGGGTGGGGGGGTGAGACTCAGGTCCCTAAGGTTAGTGGTGGGTTCTAGGTGCTAAGGCTGGAGGACTTCAGGATCAAAAGGGGAGGGTGTTTCAGGACAGAGAACCTAAGAAGGTTTAAGGCTCAAAGTCTGGGGGAGGGACTGTAGGGGGAGGGTTCAAGGTCAGAGGTAGGGCATTGTCCCTGGCTGGAGGGGGGTGGGGTAAGGAAACAGTACAGGAGTGGAAGGTTCTGGACGTAGAAGCTAAGAGGTTGTTTGAGGCCACAGGCCAGAAGGTCCCATCCCCAGGTGGCCTTGGTCTGGGTTTTGAGGAGGTTCTTTAAACAAGAGGATGCCCCTCCCCCTGCCCCCTTCTCCCTTTGGGCTCCAAGGAGAAGAGATAGAATAACCTCCAGGGGGCACCAGAGTGCTGGGTGCTCTGGTGGGAGTAGGGTGGGGGCAGGAGGAGCACCAATGGCGTTTGGGGGCCTTTGGAGAGGAACCTTAAAAGGGCCATGCACCTATAGCCAGCCCCTGCCCCAGAGAGGTGGGTAGTAGAGCCGCCCACTTGGCATTGACCTTTTCAGAGCCATCTTTTTTTTTTTTTAAGGTCCCGGCTAAAGTAGCTCTGAGGCTGCAGGCTTCCATCCGGAGCCATGACTTCCACATGGCCACCCTGGCCTGCTGAGGTAAAGTGTCCTTGGGGCCTGAGGCCTGTGATCAGGGGTGGGAGTGGGGTAGGAAAGAGATTAAGGGGGGAGCTCCTCCTTTTAGCGGCAAAGCTATGGCCCTGAGCCCAAAGCAGGAGAGTAGGGGGATGTTCCACCCAGGGCAGGGCCTTTTCCATCTCTGAGCCTCATTTCCTCTATTTATAAAATGGGAATAACCTTTACCCCATGGCCTCCGGGATGTGATAGGGCTTTGAGGCTGAGGTCCTTCCCCCCTTTCCCCTTCCCTCCCTACTTCCTCTCCCCTCCCCCTCTTCTTGCCAGCTCCCTCCCCTTTCCCCTCCTCCCATAGCCTGAGCAAACCAGAGGCAGGAGGAGGCCCTAATAGACTCAATGTGGGGACACGAATCTGGGGGCCAGGAAGATATCCAGGTGGAGGTGTGGAGGAAGCCATTGCTATTCCAGGCTGCGTTAGGAGTAGAGACCATCCCCCTCCCCATCCCTTTATATAAAGGCAGCTTTGGGATTCTCTTAAGGCAGGGGTTCTTCATCTTTTCCTTTCTTTTTTTTTTGTGAAACCTGTGGAGCCATTCTCAGAAAAATGCTTTTAAATGAATCCAATAAAACATATAGGATTACAAACTAATTCTATTGGAATATGGTTATAAATAAAAAATGTTTTTTTAAAAGTATTCACAGACCCCAGGTTAAGAATCCCTGTCTAGGGGCAGCTAGGTGGCGCAGTGGATAGAACACCAGCCCTAGAGTTAGGAGGACCTGAGTTCAAATTCAGCCTCAGACACATAATACTTCCTAGCTGTGTGACTCTGGGCAAGTTACTTAACCCCAACTGTCTCACTAAAAAAAACAACAACAAATAAATAAAATTCCTGTCTAGAGAATGAGATTCTCTGAAAATTTAATGTGGCTGGGGCAGCCTCATAGAATTAGGTGTAAATGGACCTAAGACATTTCTGGAACCAAGTATTCCTGAAGTCAGGTGCTTGTAAGGATTTCTGGAATTAGATTGCCTCTGTGTTTCTGGTATCTGTGGCCTTGTGAGAGTGGGGTCTAGGAGAAAAGGAGGAGCAAAGGAACTCAGGGACTGGAAGTGCATGGACTTGAGTTAATTAATAGGAGTTTATTAAATGCTTGCGGTGTGCTACAAATATATACAAGAATGAAACAATCTCAGTTCTCAAGGAGCTTATATCCTAAGTAAGTTGTGAGGTTGGAGGTAGCTAGGAAGAAAAGATGGGGAAGAGGATGCAGGATGTTCAAATACTTATTCCATCTCTCTCTCTTAGTAATGAAAACAGGAAAATGCTACAGGATAGACCCAACCACTGGAAATCCCTTCCCTTTCCTGAGACCTGATCTCTTTTAGGTTTTTTGAGCCAGCAAGGGTGGAAATACTAGATTTAAAGTGTCCTATGCACTTTATTTCAGTATTGAAGGCCCCTGTGGTCTGACAGAAGCCTAGTTTTCTAACTGTACTTCTCTTCAATACATCTGGTCTCCAAGCTTTCATTTTCTTTTCCTGGGCTGCCCTCTGGGCCTCCCTAATCTAAGCCATACTGCCTTCTCACGATGCACATTTATTCTGAATCCCTTGAGGAAACTGTTCCCAGTCCCCTACCTAGCTCATATGGATCTGTCTCTCATTTAAACTCCTTTAGCAACTCATCTACTCATTTAGCTCAGAGCAAACATGATGTCATTTTATGAGTTCAAGACACATGCTCCAGCTCCAGCCAGAAAGTGAGCTCCCTGGAAGGAACTAAGGACCTAAGCTGCAAGCATAGGCCAACACAAGATAGCACACACAGGGTCATCAGAGAATACCTTTGGATGGATTGGAAGAAAGCATGAAAAGGAGCAGTTAGAAATGAGATTGTTTGTTGTAGAAAGGAGTCTTGCTTCAGGCAGATATTAGACAGAGATTCTATGACTGAGAGTTTGCACTTAGACACTCCCTTGCTCTTAGATTCTGTTATCCTTCAGTGCCCGGGATATCTAGTCACTCAGAATCCTTTTTGGTAAGGCCCTGGGGACTCTGAAGCCCTGGTCCCTTGACCTAAGCTGGAAGCCCTACTCCTGTGGTCACATTCAGGAGCCAGTTGTAGGGGTGAGTGTCCCTCCCTTCTGCCCGATGAACTTTTCTCTTCTTTAGGTTCTCCTGCCCTAGATATATGTTTGTTAGGCTCTCAAGATAAGAATGACTGGGCTTACTCCACCTCTACCTCATTTCCAACACGAAGTAGGCTGGAGGGAACTCAAGGGATCTGACTCCCAAGAGTCTGAAGGAATGGGGCAGAAGGAGAGCAGGAGCGCTGAGGCACAGCGGCCGAAAACCACCTGTCTCTCATCTCCGGTGCCCCCATCGCTTCCCCACTGCTGCACTCCCTCATGCCCGCCCCTCCCAGTCCTGGGCCCCTCCCTTCCCTGCAGGAGCACTCCTTACCTTCTATGGGGGAATTGATGAGGATGACTCTGCCCATGGGTGAGGAGGCTCGAATTCCCCGGGGGGGCCCGTCCAACAGCCGCTGTTGCCTCCTCATCAGGTATCGCGTTGCGGAACCAGTGTCGCTGCCCAGGTGCCCACGGGAGGAGAGGGAGCTCAATGAGCCAGAAGACAGGTCCTCCAGGCCTAGGGGGTTCATGGCAGCGGGTCCCTCTGTGGTCTCACGATCCACTCGAGCCTCAACCCTGGACCGGAGGTCCTGTGTTGCTCTGCTTTCCTTGCCCTGGAGGCAGCGGGCCGCTCGGGCCAGGCCAGGACATAGTCCTTGAGTTGGGGGCGGGGTCTCAGGCCCCTAGGGGCCTTTCACTCCCTCTGACTGTATATCTGCACATCGGGGACATCCTAGGCCTGGTGAGAGAGGTGGAATCTTAGGGCCAAGAGGGGGCAGTGTCAAGGCAGACGCCCCCTTAACAGTCACCTTCCCCGCACCCCACCCTTAGGGACGGGGAAGCATCTCAGTCCCGGATCTGGTCCGGTTCCTGCTTCCACCTCGGCCTCCTTATGTAATTCCCCATCCAGGGCCCTGATACTGAGTTTAGGGAAGAGAGTCCATGTCCAGTATTGGAGCCGAAGAGGGGACCCAAAAGGGGTGAGACCAAAGACCTGAGACGTCCGGCTTCAGGCCTTTGGGGAGACGACTGCCTCAGGGAATTTCACCATTCCCCTCACTCCGCCCCCCCCCCGCCTGAGAATACTTGTGAATATTCAAGAAGGGATGAATATTCAATAAAATGAAGCCCCAGGGTTTGGGGGAGGAGGGATAAAGGGGGCGGCGGGGGGGGGCGGGAGAGGGCTTCAGTACCAGGGACAGATCCATAGAAGGTTCTCTCCCGCCCCCCTTTCAAGAGATTAGGGGGTCCATATCTGCACTCTTCGCCCAAGGCCGGCCTCTTCCACAGCCCTACACCCCCATCCTGCTATGCTCCCCTCCTCCCGTCGCCCACGACTCCCTGGAGGAAGATGAAGGTGACTTCCCCTCCTTCCCCCCAGCAGCTAGGGAATTCCCAAAACCCGGGCACAAAGGCTCTCCACCGAGCTCCAGGAACACATCGAGTGGCGGGACTGGTAGTTTATTTCCTCCCTCTCTCCCTAGATTACCCTTCTTCCTCCCTCCAGGTATCACCTCAGTCTGGCTTTAGCTCCGCTTACCTGGCTCGGTGTTCCGCTACTGCGGGCCTCACCTGAGACTGAGAAGGATTGCGGGTTGCCTGCAGCTGAGAGCCCCGCCTTCTCGTGGGAGGGGTGGCATGGATAGGTCTAGCCTGGGTCAAGCTGAGTTTCTTATTGGCTGGCTTGGCTGCCAGTCCGCTTTTCCTTCCCTGCTCCTAGTGGGACCTCTCTACGCCCCTGCGTAACGGGGTTTGCTAGGGGTGAGGCCGACTCCGAGTTGGCAGTTTGGCCTCGACTGGGTGCTGGCTCCTGGGCTCAGTGTGGAGAAGTGAGCAAAGGCGGCCCGCGATAAGAAAGGCTTATCGAGGCACGCTGCTTACTGTCCCTTTCTCTTCCCCTCGTCAGTTTAGGGAAGCCTAAAAAGCCTGGGTTTTACCTACAGCCAGGGTTGTTGTGAGAATCAGATGGAATAATTCATTTAAAATGCCTCAAAAAATTGTTGTTGTTTCTGACGGACCTCCAGCCCCATCCGCCTTAGAACTGTCCTTTGTGGGGTCTGAGTTATCTATCACTCATTGTTCCTAGATGGAGGGGAAGAATGCCACTTGGTTAAACCTAGGGTCTGTGCCTCTCGTGGTGGGAGAGGAGGTGTGTATATGATTTTCTGAGTAGAATGTTTGTGCCTCCAGCTTATACTGTTATTAGCTTCCCTTTGTGTATTCTTTGTGTGCTGATGTGCATCTTTGTGTGACTGTGTTTGTGATTATGTATTGATCTGTTTCTGCGTGGGCATGTCAATGTAGAATTATGTTGGGTAGGAGTGTGTATGCCCGTGAGTGTGTATCTAGCTGTATCTGTATTCAGGTTAAGGCTCTGTCCATAACCGACCAAGGTAACAGGGGGCGGGGCTTCTGGCCAGCTGGAGAAATCCCAAGGGGAGAGGGAATCCTCCTGACCCACTGACCTGCTTGGCTACAGGTAGCAATTCCTGGGTCTTCCAAGAATTCTTGACAACAGTTTGGCTTCTGTGCCAGGGCCAAAGGACAATATTAGGTGGACTGTCCACAGATAGAGTGACCTCACCTAGGCCCCCTGGTCGTTTCATCGCTTTAACAGAGTAGATAGATTCCTTTGAACCCTCAAGACTCCCCACTCCCCACCCCCCAGCAACTGGGAGTAATGTGGCAAAAGAATAAAGGGGAATTCCTCTTTCCAGCAGAAGAGACCTTTAGGAAAAGGTGATTTGAGGGGAAAGGAGGCTACACAGGAGACTCTTGGGATGGGGGCACAATGTGAGGGGACACCTGGGGAAGAGGAATAAATTTAGCTCTGTGATAAGTATCACCAAGTAAAGGGGGGCTAGATGGTAGAAGGTATTCTGGAGGAGAGTTCTGGGGAGAATGACAAAGAGTTGAGGAAGGAATTGTGAAGAAGGTGACCCCAAAGATTGGGGGTGGGGAAGAGAGAGGAAGCCTTGGTTATGAGGCTCAGGGAGTTGAGGACTGGGGACAGAAGAGGAGAGGGACACAGAGATGGGAGGGTGAGGGCAGAGATTCCTGGCTAATGGTCAGCAAAAGCAGAAACATGTAAACAACTAGGAGCTGTAACCTGAGCCTCTTAACACCCTCAGTTGCTGAGGGCACTCCCTCCTCTGCCACCCCTCTCCTCCCACACTGCTGCCCTAGCTCCTGCTTTTGCTGAGTTAGAGGTCTCAAGTCCCTCAGCTACTGGCAGGAGAATAAGCACCAACTCTCCCAGTCCAGTGCTAGGATTCCCAATAGGGGTGTGTGTGTGTGTGTGTGTGTGTGTGTGTAGCAGAGGGGGTGGGGTGGGCCTAGAATGGGGTAGCCTGGTCTGATAGCCTCTTTTCCTCCCACCCACCCGAGCTGACCCCCAAGCTCTGATTGATGCAGGATTGAGGTGGTGACTGAGGCTGGGAGAGCATGGACTCAGAGCCCAAGGAGGGAGGAAAGACAGGGACTGAGCACCCACTGGGGGCAATTTGGTTTAGCTCCTGAGTCTGGGACAGAGAGTCACTGTGAGACAGATACTTCCAACAGGAAAGGGAGAAGTTATCTCTGAACAGCCCAAGGACAGGTTTACAACACACATACTTATGCACAGGCCCCACACACTTCCCCCTGGCATACACAGTAGTTCATTAGATGCAATTCAACCAGCATTTACAAAGTGCTTACTATGTACAAGTAGTCTTGCTTGCCATTGGGGATCCAGAGACAAAAACAAGATAGTCCCTGTTCTCAAGGACCATGTAGCTTGCTGGGGAGATACATCTACACAGATATGTAACTTGAGAAGAGAGATAACACTGGCAACCAGGGAGATGGGGAAAGCTTTACTGAAGGCAGTGGCACTGAAGCTGAACCTTGAAGGAAGCTAAGGATTCTAAAGGGAAAAGGGGACGAGAGAGAGCATTGCAGGCCCCGGGAACCACAGCCTATGCAAGGGCCCAGGGAAGGAAGATAAAATGTCAAGTTCAGTAGGGTATTTTGGCTGGAATGTGGAGCATGTGAACTACAATAGGAGCTAAGTCTGCAGAGACAGGTTGGAGCTGGATGGAGGAGGCTTTCAGTGCCAAGCTGGGGAGAAGCAAAGGGGAGACACTGGAGATTTTTCAGCTGGGGTCTGACCCAATCAGGACTGTGCTTTTGGGGACGGCATTTTGTTAGCTGTCTAGAGGACAGGTTAGAGAGTGGATAGACTGGAAGCAGGGAGACCAATTAAGAAGCTATTGCAATAGGCCCAGTGAGAGGCAATAAGGGCAAGTTGCCATATAAGTGGAGGGAAAGGGACACATGAGAGATATTACGGAGGTAGATTTGACAAAACTTGTCAATTGATTGACTGTGGCAGGTGGGGTGAGGGAAAAGGAAAAGGTGTCTCTGATGTTGTGAATGTGGGTGACTGGGAGGATGGCTGTGCTCTCAAAAGAAAGAATTTTGTAGGAGGCTTCAGTTTGGGTGGGGAAGGTAATAAAGAACATTTATTAAGCATCTATTCTGTGACAGGTACTATGCTAGTGAAGCACTCTTTGCCCTCAAGGATCTTACATTCTATAGGGAGAGACAATCTGTACATTAATATTTTTTTTTCATAATATCTGTAGCAGTCCCTCTGAGGTTAATTCCTTCAAGGGAATTCATAGTGGTGGGCTTAGTCTTCAGAATGCAGCTGTGAATTAGTCTCTCAAGGTTCTAGGAATAATCCTGAAGGGCTGTATTTCTCATACTGTCCATCACTAACCACCTCATTTTCTGCCCCTTCCCCCAATCCATTTCCTTTGCCTTCTATTCAGTTAGCCAGTAGGCATAGATTATCTTTTAGAAAGGGTATGAACATTAGGTATAAAACACCTTCCTCCCCCTTCCCCCCAAACTGGAGGCATACCCTGACCTTGCGTGCTCAAAAGTATAGTGGGGTAAAATTTACAATATAGTGGTAATGAGGCATATATGCAGAGAACATAAGTGGCAAAGGGGTGCTTCCTGACTTCTGGCCTTGGAAGTCCTTCTCTCCCTTTGTGGAATCTTCATGAGATTCTGTTCCTTGTGGCATCAGTAAGGGTTTAGATGCTGGTTCCTCCCAGGGTATAGCATCTCTGCTGGATAGATTGATCTGCTGCTTGAATCAGGTTACTAAGGAGCAGCTAGGTGGTACAGTGGATAGAGTACTGGCTCTGAAGTCAGGAGGACCTGAGTTCAAGTCTACCTCAGACCAAACATTTGATGTTTCCTAGCTGTGTGACCCTGGGCAAGTCATGTAACAATTTAGTTTTTTTTAAATTTTTTGCTAGGCATTGGGGTTAAGTGACTTGCCCAGGGTCACACAGCTAGTAAGTGTTATGTATCTGAGGCTGGATTTGAACTCAGGTCCTCCTGGCTTCAGGGCTGGTGCTCTATCCACTGCGCCATCTAGCTGCCCCCCCCTTTTTTTTGTTTTGTTTTTTTGGTGAGGCAATTGGGGTTGAGTGACCTGCTTAGGGTCACACAGCTAGTAAGTGTTATGTCTCTGAGGCCGGATTTGAACTCAGGTCTTCCTGACTGTTAAGGCCAGTACTCTATCCACTGCGCCACCTAGTTGCCCCTTGGCAAGTCACTTAACCCCAATTGCCTAAAAAAATTTAAAACCCCCCCAATATGAATCAGGCTACTAAGCTGCCACACTACAATCTATGCAGACCTTAAAGCTATCTGGTGTAGGCAGCTCTGACTCCTGTGGCTATTGCAGCAGGACACCAGTGGACCCTATTACTGATTTAGGATGCTGATGGGACCTCCAAGTTTCCTGAACTCAGGTCACTGCCTGGATATATCTACTTCCAAATCAGAGAAGAATGGCAAAGCATTGGAAATTGATGGGATGTCCATCAGTTGGGGAATGGCTGAACAAGCTGTGATGTATGATTATAATAGAATACTATTGTTCTATAAGAAATGATGAGCAGGATGATTTCAGAAAAACCTGGAAAGGCTTATGTGAATTGATGCAAAGTGAAGTGAGCAGAACCAGGAGAACATTGTGCACAGTAACAACAGTATTGTACAGTGATCAACTGTGAATGATTTAGCTGTTCTCAACAATACAAGACGGTCACAAAGGACTCAAGATGAAAAATGCTATCCACCTCCAGAGAAAGAAGTGGAGTATGAATGCAGTTTGAGGCATACAATTTTTCACTTTTTTTCTGTGGTGTTTTTTTTTTTGTTCTGTGTCTTCTTTCACAACATGACTATGCATAACCTATATAAAATTGCTTCCTTCTCTGGATGGGGAGTTGGGGGGGATGGAAAGAATTTGGAACTCAAAATTTAAAAAAGTGAACGTTAAAAATTGTTTTAATATGTAATCAGGAAAAAGGAAAATATTATTTGAATCAAAAAAGAATGAATACAGAGATACAGAGCTGGCCATTTGTCATAGACCCCATAGATGAATGGGAATAGGTCTGATGCTTATCCCTTGCCACACTCTTGGGACTGTGTCAAAGCAAACTTGTTGTCTCTCATTGGCAAAGAAAAAAGAGATTGAGAGATGGGCAGTTTGCTCTTTTTATATGTGTGTTCAAGTCTGACTCAGCAACTCCTGAGTTATCAGTT